ACAGCTGCCCGTTTGTTCTGCCGCTCTTTGATGAGCAGGCCGCAAAGATACCCACATTGTTGAAGCGTCTGCAGACACTTAATCCCAGCTCATGTTGGCTTTAGTGCCTGCTGTGGGAGCCCGTGGCAGTCATGCCACAGACGTTTTATCCACCTTTCTAAGTCCAGCTTTAGCAGCTCAGCGAGTCCCCAGGTCGTAAAGCAGCTCATAGGTGGCAGATTGAGTTCACAGGATGTGACATCATGAACAGCTGAGTGCAGGGGAAGGTCAGAAACTGTAGAAATCGTCAACTTCCCCATGATGCGAGGACTTGTTTGCTCTGAAGTGTAGACAAGAATCAGTCTTGTTAATGTCACTTAGTTGCATAAAAGGACAAGTGTATATGCTTCCTTTTTACTAGTATTTGTATTCTCCACTATTTGATAACCATTTTTATTATGTAAGATATGATCTGCGGTATATATCCGTTATATAACGCACTACTGTTAATCCCCATCATGCAAATTGGGACCATTGCCATGGAGTTATGATGCAGCTTTTAACCCTTAACAAGCACCTCTTTTGCCTCTTTTTCATACCTAAAATAAAAACTGTACCTCTTTGACATGATTATGGACTCTCCAAAATTCAGACTTTGTTTCCTGAACTGAATGTAAAGAGGCAAAAACATGGTGGAAAATGTATTTTTTCTCCCTGTTTTTAAAGGTGTTGTTACTTAATTCTGTATAATTCTGTTTCATACACACTCCTGTTACAAAATAAGGAGCAGTCGTGATACTTAGATCTTAAAATCGTTTGCATTCATGAGGCTTCAAACAAGTCAACTTACTCTAGTCTTGCCCCACATTCACAGCGCTGTTAAAGTTTAAATGGAATCGAGTTAGGATTTTTTATTAGTCATTTGGACCTCTTGTGAAAAATCCGGTGGCATTAAAGGAATGCTTCACCCCCAAAATGATCCTTTGTATTTCAGGTGCTCACCTCATGTTACAATGAATTTGTGAAGAAAACTTTGCTTTTCTCGTATGTCTCCTCTGTGAATGAAATATCCAAAAACTGAGGAAATGCTTGATGACTTGAAGAGATAGGGGTCCGCGTTTCACTACAGCAAAACTATATGGAAACATGAGCTCACAAACTCTCCCACTACTCCTGCTGTATAATCCAAGTCTCATTTATCCAGTCGTATGCTCAGTGCCTCCCAAACACGTACATTTTTCTCAGGTGCGCTACTCATCCGTGCTCAGTGAAGTATTCCTTTACATTGAAAATAAAATGTAAAAAAAAAAAAAGAGGGGAAACATCAGTTTAGACAGAATGTAGCAACAACATGAAGGCACTGTGGCGTTTCCTCGTGGTTTTGCTGTAAACACCAGCGTGAGCGTCTCAGCGTGGTTAACGCCTCCTTCTTAACCGTCACCACAGGGCTCTCCCTCCAGCAAGCGCAGAGGTCCGCTCCTTCAGCCCATTATCGAGGGCGAAACCGCACTCTTCTTCGATGACATCAAGGTGAAGAGCTGCTGCTTGAATAATCAGTCGCCAGCTACCCCGCCCGCCCCGCCCCCACCTCCCTCCAACCCTAACTCCCCCTCATTTACCCACCATCCACCCCTCTAATGAACCTGATTGCTGCCTGTTGATTGGGCGGTTGCCTGTTTCCTGCTACCAGCGCCTGTAGAGACGTTGAATCAGTAGCTGCCTGGACCTGATGTTTGAACCGCTCTGTGATTTTTTTAGCTGTAGATGTTGTGTTTTAAAGGATTGCTCTGGTTTATTACAGCTTGGGTCTTATTTTTACAGTTTTGACCATCATTTTTAACAATAATTATATTATTAATTATCAGTAATGATAATAAGCAAAAAAAATGATGATCAAAGCTTTAAAAATAACACCCAATTGTAATGAAGCAGAAGGAATCCCTTTACATGTGTGTTTAAGGCAAACTGTAATCAGTCTGTGTATTTTGCTGGCTGTAGCAGTTTCAGGATTTACAGAGTACATAAAGCTGGTTCTTGTTGGAGTGTGTGTCTTCTAGTTGACTGCCTTCATTAACTCCATCCATATGCACTAATGAGTATAGACATGAATCACAAACCAGGACCATCGAAGTGCATTGTGGTGCTGTACTGTGGTGATTTTGCAGCATTGGTGACTAACACTGCACGACCCTGATGCGCCGCAGTGTTTGAGCCTGGAAGCCGTCTGACAGCCTCGCCTTTCCAACACTTGGCCTCCATTTGACCTCTTTGTTGTTTCTGCAGGAGGAAGAGGATGGCTCAGAGGATGACGGGGACTCAAAGACACAGTTCACCGTAACCGTCCGGCCTGACCTCAGTGTGCTCGGCTTCCTGGACCACATGGAGGAGGACGCAGACGGTTTCATTTCACCTGTGGATGAACTTTCACCATCTAAGCATGTGACGGACATGAGGCTGTCCAACCTGCACTCTGCCACCATGTAAGTTGCTAAAAATGACACATAACAACAACAGTGGTAGTGTCACACTAAAGGAATCCGGTGGTACCTACTATGTCACGCTAGCTTCTCAGATTGGGCTAAATAACACTCCAAAATTAGGCAAGATTAATCTCATTTTTATATTGGTACTTTTACCTAAGCTAAATATCTGAGTACTTCTTCCACTACCTTAGACACATTTAAATATTATAGTCTGAGATAGTTAAGTATTTCTGTTCTACTCTAATCTTACAGGGAGGAACTCGTGGAGCAACTCCAAGAGGCCCGGGAGGAGAAGAAGCGACTTCGCAAAGCTCTGAAAGAGTTTGAAGATCAGTTCTTCAGACAGAACGGAAGGTAAAAAAATAAAAGATTACATAAGGACAGAGAGAGAAGGCATAAGAAAGACATTCACATAATTGGTTTTCCACTGCAGAACCTCCATTTCTTAATGTTTGTTGTCTTGTTGCCATAGAAACGTGCAGAAGGAGGACCGCTCCCCGCTGGCAGTCGAGTACAACGAATACAAGCACGTTAAAGCCAAACTGCGGCTGCTGGAAGTCCTCATCAGCAAAAGAGACTCCACTAAGTTCATCTGAGACAAAAATGAAAGACTCTAAGAGGACTTTGGAGATTGAGTCGAACACATCTCACCCTGTTTGAGAGAAGATATGATTTTCTTTCTTGTTGCCATCTGTGCCACTCTTGTATCTGGCTCGGGGGGAAACTGTTCACCTGGTAATCTGTTGAGCTCAGTGGGGTTTTTCCTCTGGAGCCCACAGAGAGCCGGCGACCCACGACTGATTCAGAGCGACACAAAGTCACCTGCTTCACCTTGAGAAGTTCACTTTCAACAATAACCTCACCTTCATGAGAGGACGTTTCTCCAGACACCCACAAATAACCTGAATCACACTTTTATTGCTAATAATTTATTTCTATCCTTTTGAATGTTTTTATCAGAGAAGTTATTTTTCTCACACTTTACTGTAGAAGAAGTCTTAAAAAACTGTGTAAGTAAAATAACAGATATGAAATTATTGCTATTTTTAAAGAAGGATTTTTGCGATCAAGAAGTGTGTATTTTTGTAAGGGAGACGTTACTATTTGTATAACTCCAATCAGCTTAACAGTATTCACTAATTGAATAGCTTTCTATATTTCAGTTCTGACCATCATAATATCTGAGATAATCTTTTGTTGCTTCTCTAGAAGTTGAATCGAGTATTTGCTCACTAAAAGAAATGGTTTAAAATATTAACACAACCCAAAGACAGTGACTCAGAGTACAACCTATGAACCAAAATAACTCATTTTCAGTAAAACAGCTTATTTTTGTGATCACTGGTACTTAAGCATTTGACTGTTTTTTGTGCATTGACGTGCTTTTTTCCCATTTCCTTACTGTCAAAATAAGCTATTTCTCATCTTGAAATCACTGGTATGTTTCTGCTCACACTGATAAACATTGACAGACGTTTGTGAGATGACTCCTGCAGGGTGGCCTGTGTTTCCTTCACGTCCTTTCTGGAGCTCATTTGGTTCTTTTGTAAATATGGATCACTTATGTATGTTTACATTTCTGTGAGCGAGTACATTTTTCCTTCCTTTCTCCAAAATGGATGATTTATCAGTGTGAATTTCGTTTTTACTGAATGTAAACACTGGCGAGGCTTAATGAATTTTGAGTGTGTACATTTTAGTACATAAATTGTATTTGTATTTTGTATATAATATGAATGAAATCATATTTTTACTGAGTTTTTTTGGCTGCGTGGATTTCCTTTGAGTGACTGAGTTGATGTGGAAGCATTTTAGGTGAAGGAAATTCCTCTTGTGCACAGTACATCACTGTTTTAGGGCTGCGAATAACAATTATTTTTCATTTTTGATTATTCTGACAATTATTGTCTTGATTAACTAACCTATAGTTTGGTTTAAAGACTCAACTGGCACTGGACGTCAATATGATGTCAGAGAGATATTTGACTGTTATGTTGGACAAATGTTAAATTTTGGATGGATTGAAAATGAGGTTGACGATATTTTAAATGACTAAAGATGTTAGATTTCCACCTTGTGTGGATGTTAACATTATGATGGTTTGCAAATGTTGGATTTTGGTCTCCATACCAACTAAATATTGTTATTCCTTTGTTGAGATGAGGTTAGCATGAGAAGTTTGGCAGACTTTGGATTTTACCAAACAACAGAACTTAAAACCAACAAAATATCATCTTCTGTTGTCAATATTCTATGTCAAATTCACGTTGGCATTAAACGTTGTCCTGACATTAAATTTTAGTCACCCGATGTCATAACATAAATTCAACCAAATACCAAGGTTAAATAACACTGGTGACCAGCTGGTGATATTCAGTTTACAATGATATACATAAATATTCTGTGGATCAATTACTGAATTTGTTCCAGAAAAATCAAGCTGCTAAAAACAAAATGTAATCTGTAAAAAGATGGTAAGTATATGTAATGAGCTACAAAGTAATTGTTTAACATATTTCTGTCCAATAATGCAATCACCAAACACTGTATTGTTTTATTTAAAAAGTTGGCTGGAACACAGAGTTTTGTGTAGATTTCAGACAAATATGCAAAATCACATTTTCTTGTAGCACAATAAAAGGTGCAAAAAAGTCAAGGGCTGCACAAACCTTTGCATAGGACTAAACTCTGCAGGAGAAATTAGCTTTAATTAGACAAATACTGACTGAACATGTAAGAACATGTGTGTACATGCAGTATAGCGCTAAGCAAGAAGATGAACTGTCCCAAGAAAACATCTCAGAAGAGTCCACTGTTTAAGACCTTTAGAAGAAAAGCCCAGAGTTATCACTACATTACTGGGCTGTTTCAGGTTGTTATTGCTAAACAGATGTGTCAGTGTGACCTGGTGGGACACATCAAGTCATTTACTGTCTCAAGTCACTTTGACACCACTGTCATGTATGAAATATATAAAAAATATATACGTATATATGCAAGACCATGTCACACACTTCACGCCAATGCACGATCTAATTAAACATTTGGATTAAAGAGGTTTGACTGTAGGAATAAATACAGTATCAGGGCAAGATGTGCAACAAACTGACTAGCGAATTAAATAAGTTATCTGCCCACACTGTTAAATACTGTGTCATCCTCCAAGACACATTTTACAGTCATAATTTACTTATCTGCAACTTGGAAACAAACTAATTACAATTATTAATTTTAATGAGTAAATATTTTGTAGTAAATGCAATTTTTGGACATACATACATTTACTGGCTTTCTGGTTGACAAGTAGCTTAGCATCGTTACATGTGAAGCTACAGCTAGCAGCCGGTTAGCTTAGCTTAGCTTAGTTTAGCAAAAAAGACCGGAAATCGGGGAAACGGCTGGTCTCGCGCTATCGAGCAGTTACAAAATCTTTTTTTTTTTTTTTAAATGCATCTTAAGTTGACAAAGCAACATTTTATAACTCATTTGTTAAGTCTGTACGAAAAAAAATATGTATAAAAACGCCAAATCGCCATTTTACGCAGGGTTTTGTGCCACAGTATTTCTTAGCGCGGCGCTGTTGCTAAGCAACCAGTGGAAAAAGTTTGTAGTGTTATGCTGTATTACGCGACCCGTTACATCCTATGACCTGAATATGCTTTTAGGCTATATAAATTCGTAACCCTATCTAAATACTACGATGGCACCATGTTTGGTAACAGCTATCAAAAGAAGGCATGCAATAACAATAATTAATTAACGTTTGCTAGCTTAAATTCATTTCCTCATGAAGTCATACCTGATGGGTCACAGAATACGGTGTAACGCCGATCTCAGCTAAGAGAGAGCGGGTACATAACGCCACGTAAAACGATGAGTTGTTGTTTTTACACCCTAGTTTTTGCACGTATAAAACAAATAAGATATAACGGGTAAATTAGTAAACTTAAATGGTGATGGTACGTGAGTTTTATTCCCGCTGGACAGAGCCAGGCTAGTTGTTTAACCCCTCTCTAGTCTTTGTGCTAAGGTAAACTAAGCTAAGATAAGCTAGGCTACGCTAAACTAAGCTAAGCTAAACTAAGTAGCAGCTAGTCGCCACCTCAGATTCAACGGTCAAACATTAAAACCTAACTCTCCCCCAGAAAGCTAACAAGCGTATTTTCCAGATTGTCTAACTCTTTAAATGACAATCTGGTTTTTGCTCCCACTCAAGAACATGCACACAGACAACAACCACTAAAAATCAACTTTTAAAGTCAGCTTCTCGTGTAGGTTTTGCTGTAGAAGGCAACACTGTTGAATGCAGGTTCAAGACAAAGTCAGCTTCTCTGTGATCCACAGCTCGAAAGGAAAGAGGGATTGCAAATAATATTCACCATGTTTCACCTCTCTGCCTGCTGAGTACTCCCACATTGTCCTTCTTTAACCTCAGGCAGAGAGGACATGCTGGTGTCCAGATTTAAAAAGATCAGCGGGACAAACACTCCTCCCAATGTCAAGGGTAAAGATTATATTCAAAGTGCTATTTACATACATATATACACATTTTTATATTTTGTCAAAAAATAACCACTCTATTTAACCAAGTAAAAGTAACAAAAAGCAGATATATTGTCTCAAGATAATAACAGAATTATTTAAATGTAAAAAATAGAATTTAAGGAGCTGAATATAAAGTACAAAACAAAATAAAATAATTAAAGACGAAAATAAAACTACGCAAACATCCAAAAAGCCTGAGTTTCTCAACCTCCTCTGGCCTTTGATTTTTGGTCTTATATTTTTTATGATCCCAGGTTCTCATGTAAATTTAAGTATGTCATTAATATTTCAGGAGTGTGATTAATTTCAAATAAATATCCATACATCAGCATTTAAAGTATCTTTCAAATGGTCCTTAAAGATTGAGAAACATGGCCGAAAGCAATGAAAACATAATACTCTGATTTACATAGATAGACCTTTCAGATTCAAGACGCTTAACAATCTTGTGAGAGCATATAAAGAGAGTGATCTTCCTGTGTCCCCAAGTCTGAGTCCCACTACACTCTTTTGACACTGACACGGGGGTCGTATTGCTGTTAAAGTGCATTAAAGCTGCTGCAGTTCTCCACCTCCTCAGACCAAGCTGAAACCCTCGTACTGCTCCACAGCCCGAGTGAGACGGCAGCGCAGGATCTCTTTGGTCTGGTAGCGGGGCATGTCCAGCAGGTTGTAGCAGGTGTGGGCCACCGGCAAGTAGTGCTCCTCCGCTGTGGTGGACTGGATGACAATACGCAGGCTCTCCATGCCGTGGATGGGGATACGATCACTGCCGGTCAGGAACACTGCAGGCAGGAGACAGAGGACAAAGTCAGAGTCAACTACTAGAAAAAAATTTCTAAGCTCAAAATGTGGCTGCATGACCTTCCAAGCAAGGTGCTGGTTTGACCAACAGGAGCAATTTGGGGTTCAATCTTGCTAACCAAGCTAGCAGCTAGTATTAGGGTTATTTCCACTCTCATCGTCTAAGTATGGTCACTTCTCATCACTTCTGGCTCCAAATATCCAAGGCAGCAAAATGCCATACTCGAGGCTTCAAAGTGGGAGTCTGCAAACCAATCGGTGACATCATCGTGGCTACATTTGTTATTGTATACAGTCTATTCTCTTGCGCAAGAACACTTCAACATGTGGACAGGGGGACCTGGAGCTAAAACCCTCAACCTTGCGATTAGTGAATGACCCGATCCACCTACTGAGACCCTTTAACCTTCCGATATCAGACAACCCTACTGATATCGGATTTTTAAGACCAATATTAATATTTTAAGAGTTTAAAAATCTGATAACAACATTGGCTGATAAATAGACAAATTATTTTGTTCCTCCTAGATCTCTCTTTCTTCTCTGGGGCTAATGGCTGAAAAAACTAGGACAATTCCTTCTGCTGTCAGATGTGATGACTTTACTGTATCATGTAATTTTTTTAATCTTATCTCTAATCTTTTATAAGCTTTTCACCTCACACCACACTGGAGTGATTTACCACAAAGCTCTTTAAATTATTGTCAAAATGTCCAGGTGTGAGTTATATATAGTAGTATATTCTCATGCGAGAACAAACTGCACATTATTATAGTATTTACAACATGTTTGAGGGCGAGAGCGTGAGAATTAAACTGTCTTGCACTTTGAGCAATGAGGCAATTAAATGCTTACATAAGAACTGCTTCTTCTTCTCCAGAGAAAACTCATGGAAAACCTCCCAGAACAATCTGACTGTTGGATGAGTGGCTGTGTATTCCCCTTTGTAAACAGCGTTCTGCGAAGAGAAAAGAAGTGGTGATGAGAAGCGTTTCCCCGTTTAATCATCATTAAAACATTTCCTCTTTTGCAGCAATTTTTACACATCATGCATCAGTTAAACAGATTCCTCTGAGATATGCATGTACTTTGGTAGTTTCTGCACCTACTGCATAAATTTTGTATACAAAATTTTAGAGAAGTCTCTCATATTTATGTTGCGTAACAATCCCTCTAAGGTTTTCCCACCGATGTTGTGTTGTAATCTGCACAACAGGGACACAAGAGTTGATATAAGCAGTAAAATATGTGAAACCAAATGCTGAGCTACAAAACAAACTACCACTATTATTCACATGAATACAGCTTTTTTACTGTTAAATTGGTTTAATATGTGAGCACTGTCCCTGCTAAATAAACTAATAAAATAAAATATAGCCGCGAGCGGCAATCTGCGGGTTCTAACCTGTTCCGCCCCAAACCAGCCACCGTGACCCTCACCACCCACCGTGACCCTCATCTGCCGTAGTGCAAGACGTTCCCCACTCTGTCCCTGAAAGCTCCAAGCGATACATACTCTTTCCAAGTCACACATTTCTTGAAATCGGGTTTTCAGCTAGCCTACATGCTAATAACATTTGTGGTATACTTTCACATAGAGACTCCATTTGAACATCAAAACATAAATTGAAATTTTACCTATTGATGCGTATTTCAAAGTTTCAATAGGTATTTTAATGTTTAAGCAATCACAGTTCCATGATCATGATAATTTTGGGAGAAATCTGGAGATAATAATGGATGTGTATGGGAGAGGCTGTAAAATATTCTGTAAGGCTAAAGACACAGATGTGAGTGTACTATTATGATTTTACCTAAATGAAGGTAAGTGAAAGTTCAGACAGGAAGATCATCTCTTTACGTAAGTATACCTCAAAGCCACTTCTCTGTTTTCCCACTATCCTCTTGCTCCACCCTTCTTCACATATTTCAACAAGTCACAGTCTGCCAGCCTCTCCCTGTTCTCTACCAATCCGTCATTAGCTGTCAAATTTCTCTCTCTGCTGTCATCCAGCTGTCATTTCAGCAAAACTCCCAGCCCACCTCCACCCCTGCACCACCTCCATCAAGATACAGACTGTCTTAATCTGGATCTTCAACCCAGAAGTTCCCTCATCCGGTGACCTCAAGATTCCCTACCTTCCCCAGTGTCTAGGCCGGGGGGTGGGGGTAACTTCTTCAGTTGCAAGTTTCTCATCCACAGATCAGTTTACTCAGCTGGTCTCCTCCCCATGGTCTAAGTGGCAAATTATCAAACCATTCTAAATATATTCACGTGACCTCAAAAGTCACATAACTATAGCAACATGTGCACATGCAGGCTTTTTTATTCAAACATGACATAATAGCTTCATTTGCATGAAGTGGTATTATGTGGTAGTGAGGGTCCGTGTACCTTTTGATAGTTTGATATTTTGTTTTCAAAATAAAACGGATTTACGGAAATACGGCCGTTTTCCCGTTATTCCGTTTTGAGACACAAAACGAAATAACGGAAGTGCTTCCGTTTTCCCGTTTTCTCTTTCAAAACCAAATTACGGAAAAACCAAATTGAAACGAGACCCAGATGCATTAGCTAGGTACAAATAGGATAGGCCCAGTACTCTATGTCATTGTTTTCTCTCTGCTCAATTCCTACAACATTGCTTTTTGTGTTTATCTTTCTTAACCCCACCTGAACAACCACTAGTCTATAAAAATGTTATGTAATGTTTTATGTTTCCAAATCAAATGAAATCAAAATGATAGTAGGCCTATTTACCATATTGTTCAACCAGGTGAAGTTCCAAAAACATAGGCTAATCTGTGGCATTTTACTAAATCTAAAATAGGCCTACATGTGCCGCCCTCTTCAAGGGTAAAAAATGTCCTGACATCATGTTTGTTTCACTTATGTTGTAGGATGGGAAGTCATCAAATATTAGCAAAACTCACAGAGTGAGAGAGACCTGCAATGTCTGTTTGTCAGTCTGTCAGACTGTCCTGGCCATAATAGTATTAAACTTAAAATCTGCACCATATCATTAATGATTAACAAGACTGAGTAACTACATTGGAGTTGGAACCCAGGATCAACTGTGTGAACATACAAGGAGTTATACATGTAAGCAGAAAGGAGAGTGGAGAGAAACATGATGTAAAGAGAAAGCTTGGGTAAATGACATGCAGTAATCATTTCGTCCATCGCTGCTTACTTGGGTGACATGCATAAGATTTGTCTACTTCTCATGAGAATTGTGTCATATAACACACGCGGCCTGCGTCTAGGACACAATGCAGCGGATAAGGCACGGCGACTTGTTGTTGACAAACTCCTTGAGGAAACTGACATTCTTTGTCTACAAGAAACTTTTCTTGCTAAACAGGACCTGGACAAGCTTAACTCTGTTCATAGTAACTTCCATGGGGTGGGGGAGTCAACCACAGATTTGAGCTTGGGGTTGGTTCAAGGCAGAATACCTGGAGGTGTGGCCATTATGTGGCATAAAAAATATGACCCTCTGATCAGTGTGATTAGATTGAGAGTAGACTGGTGTGTTGCAATAAAAGTTTCTTATAATGGTAATGTTCTTATCATTTTGAATGTTTACACACCTTATGAATGTTCCAGTAACGAGGACGAATATCTTCAAAAGCTTGCTTTTATTGGCTCTTTTATTGAGGAAAATGAATGTACCCGTATTTATGTAATGGGTGATTTGAATGCAGATATCTCTGATAGGAAGTCTGTGTTTGGCCGATACCTAGTTGAATTTTGTCATGATAATAAGCTCTTGTTAACAAGTAAGATCCATTTGCCAACAGATAGCTATACATATGTCAGTGAGGCTTGGAATACAACATCCTGGCTAGATCATTGTGTAAGCACAGCTGATGCCCATGAATGTGTGGATAAAGTTGAGATTTTGTATGGGTTTGCAACAATGGACCACATGCCTGTCTCCATTATGCTCAATGTAGAAAACCTACCTACAATGACCACGGATGATAATCAGGTTAATCATGGTGGGAAAATTGAGTGGGCTAAACTCTCAGAGAACGACCTGCTACATTATCATGACTTGACTGAGAAGACCATAGGTAACATTGAAATTCCATATGATGCTATAATGTGTGATAATTTCAACTGTGGTATGCCAAATCACAAAGAAGAGCTATGTGTACTATATGACAGAATTGTGCAGGGTCTGAATGAGGCTAGTAAACCACTCATTCAGAGAAAAGCAAAGAAGTACAGCTTCAGGCCAGGCTGGAATGAGTATGTGGATGAACTCCACCAGCAAGCCAGAGAAGCTTTTAAAAATTGGGTTATCGCTGGTAAATCAAGGCATGGACCTGAGAGTGAAATTAAAAAGAAAGCTGTTGCTAGGTTCAAATATGCAATTGGGAAATTGGCTTTAAACAAATCCTGTGGCCTTCATCTGATCTCTGCAGAGCATTTGAAATTTTCATGAATGAAATTTTCATTTTCAAGAATGAATGAATGAGTGAATGAATGAACTAGAAAATTTCACATGAAATTTTGAGTGTGCCTGATGCTCGCTGCCAACTAGTATCCCCATAGCAATACGCTAATTATTAATAGCAGTAAATGTATCACTGTGTGTCTGTGTGTGTGTGCATGCCTGAATGTGTGTATGTTCACGTGCTGTCGCGCGTTTGTGTATGTGTGAGTCTGTTTGTCTGTCTGTGTGTATGTCCACTTACAGATAGAAAAAACAGCTTAACTTAACAGCTAAAAAAGACTGCAGTCTAAAATGTCCAAGATGGACACAGAAAGACAGAGACAGACAGACCCAGACAGGCAGACTGACACATATGTAATTACCTCTGTATGATGAGGCTTTAACTGCAAAGAAGTCAGGTTGCTGAAATATTCAAATTTGACTGTGCTGTGACACACAGACGATTGGCCGAACGGCTGGAGTTGATTCAGCCAATCACCAGTTGGCAATGGCACAGTCAAATTTAAATACACCAAGAAAAGGCAGAAACTGAGCCAAAAGTTCCTCTCAAACTCCAACTGTTTAATGAAAAACCGTAAGTGCTACAGCTACAAAAAGCACACCGTGAGCGAGAGGACAGGATGCGGATCACAAAGGTGTAAATTTCATTTCTGTGGTGTGAAAAATGAGGCCAGAGCCATGATGGACATAAGTGGAATGGTCTGCTTTCTTCCAGAAATTTGGGCTCTCACTTAACATGGGAGTGAATGGGGCAGTTGGTTGGACTTGTTGTCCTTTTAGACCACCTGCAGCCAAAACCCTAAATCCATTTTCTTCAGCGGTCGCACCTCTGCGACCGGAACGGCTTTTCCTACAATTTGGTGTACAATTTGTGTATGTAGAGTGAACGATGTGGCCGCACCAGCGAGTTTAAGAGAAAATTTCTTGATGATTTCAGAGGTGCTGTGCACTCTAGCGATGACATCACCCACTCTAACTCTCAACATTCCACGCAATACACACCCATTATAAATTCTGAGAAGGGCTGAAAATTTCATGATTTTTAAACAGCTGGTGTAGAAAAACTAAAAGAGATATGGAAAATATGAATCAGTCACTGAAAGTCGATGGCAATGTCAACATTTCAGAGTTGGAATGGAGTTTCTACGTGAATGTATGAGTTCGTGAAGTGTGGGTGAAGATGAGTGAGTTTGAAGGATTTTCTCATTGACTTCCATTATAACCAAGTTTCAGAAAACGCTGAATATTTTGGAAAGTTTGAATGGGATTGAAAAGTTGAATCATATGTAAAAAGTCAAGGAATTGCTGAATATTTTCCAGTTTGAATGGAGTTTCTAGCTGAAAGTATGAATCCGTAGTTACTGTTTGAAATTTTGTGATTTTTGAAGATTCCGTAATTCATTTTCAATGGAGAAAACGGTTTGGCGGTGGCGCCCCCTATGTGCCAATCTCAAAATCTTTTTTTGGGTGTGTTCTTGGTCCCCTTCTGATGATATTTACCCAGTTTTGTGACGATCGGAAAAACGGTTAACATTTTACAGCCGATATTCGCTAAGCCCCGCCCTTTCCAAGGACACTTTGCTTGACGGCAGCCGTGTTTTTCGTCCGATCTTGCTCATTTATAATAGAAATGAGTGTCTCGGTCCCCCGATGCCTCATACCAAGTTTGGTGTTGATAGCACAAATATTTCAAAAGCTTATTCATTTTACTGTTTTTAACATTATTAAAATTAGCAAAAATTCTGTAAGGGTGGCATTCATGGTGCAAGAGGCTTTTTTGTAGAGGACTATCAGGAGGATGTGTGTGTAAAATTTCAAGTCAATAGCACTTGTGGTGCGGCGGGCAGAGCCTTTCAAGCTTTACACTCTATGTTATAGCGCCCCCATAAGGCCGATTGGGACCAAATTTTTTGAGCAGTATTTGGATGTCATTTATAGTCCATGTACCACGTTTCATGTCCCTAGGTCCTTCCAGCTGGTCATAAATTAATAAAACGCAAATTATGACGGTTAATGACGAATAGGCCACGCCCACTTTCACCTATCAACATGGCACTCAAGATATGAGTTAATAGCCACCCCTAGAGCATGCATACCAAATTTGGTGAAATTCCATCCAATGGTCTTTGAGATACAGATGTGTGGCATTTATAGCGCCCCCTATAGGCTGAGCTCAAAATGCTTTGGTAGGCAGCTTCCAAGTCTCATTGTGGACCTACCCACCAAGTTTGGTGATGATAGGTCAAAGGGTGTGGGAGTTATGGCCAATCAATTCTAAGCTCCGCCCACAGCGAAGATTCATTGGTCCGTGGCGGCTATGTTTTTTGACCAATCTGGCTTATTTGTAATAGAAATGTGTCTTGTCATCCCCTAAAGCCGTGTACCAAATTTGGCTAAAAGAATGAAAGAATGAGATCACAGATACAAGTGGCCGAAATGAGTTTCCTCTGTCGGGTGGCTGGGCTCAGCCTTAGAGATAGGGTGAGGAGCTCGGATATCCGGGAAGAGCTCAAAGAAGAGCTGCTGCTCCTTCATGTCGAAAGGGGTCAGTAGACATGGTTCGGGTATCTGATCATAATGCCCCCTGGGTGCCTCCTGCTCAAGGTGTTCTGGCACGTTCCACTGGCAGGAGGCCCAAGGACAGACCCAGAACATGCTGGAGGGATTACATATCTCATCTGGCCTGGGAACACCTTGGGGTCCCCCAGGAGGAGCTCGAAAACGCTGCTTGGGAGAGGGACATCTGAGGGGCTTTGCTTGGCCTGCTGCCCCAGCGACCCGGCCCCAGGTAAGTGGATGAAAATGGATGGATGTTTATTGCTGTAAATTTATCAGTCTAACAACATCCTTTTGATCTTATGTTTTGTAATTTGCCATTAGTCTCTTTATATTTTCAGTCATGACAATTATGGTCCCCTGAGTATGAATCCTGTTGACTTTGATGATCCCTAACTTTTCCTCAAATAACACCATGAGGTCGACATTTTTAGTCTTTTATTCAGATACCTCGACAAGTATTGGACGGTTTGATGTGAAATTTGCAGTGTTGGCAGAAGTACTCAGATCTTTTACTTAAAGGGACAGTTCACCCCCAAATCAAAAATACGTATTTTTCCTCTCATCTCTAGTGTTACTGATCAGTGTAGATTGTTTTGGTGTAAGTTGCCGAGTGCTGGAGATATCGGCTGTAGAAATGTCTGCCTTCTTTCAAATATAATGGAACTAGATGGCACTTGGCTTGTGGTGCTTAAAGTACCCAATACATTTGAAAAACTCAACAGCAATGACATCTAGCGCCATCATCAGGTCCGAATTTTATGTAGTCCAGTACTTTGGTTAAGACTTAACGCCTGCAAAACTAATGACATTCAGCCTCAGCTGTACTTGTGTTCAGGGCTAATTGTCAATTGTCAGCATGCTAACACGCTAACCTTAGATGTTAAGATGGTAAACACATTTTACCTACTGATGTTAGCATTTAGCTCAAAGCACTGCTGTGCCAAAGTACATAGCCTCACAAAGCTTTTCTCGGTCACAAAAATAAATAAAGGTAAAAAAAAAAGAAAAAAAGATGTTATATATGTCCAAACTACAAAATCTTTTATTGTGTTGAGCAAGAAGAAACAAAACCTGCAGCTGCTGAAGAGATCTGTCCAGTAAAAGTCAGTGAAAGTTAGGACGAAGTCATGAGTCATGAGTTTCTGCTCATTCACCACTGTGGCTGTCAACTAACCTGCCAGATGGTGATGATGTGTAAGTCAAATGTACAGCTCTGTACAATGAAACGTTATCATCGTCACAAACACTCGCATCACAGCACATTGAGGGTTTCATGTTCCAATCCAAATATGAGGTTTCAGTGTGTTCACTGACCACGAAAAGGAAGTGGTTTGCAAATTCTGCTGCAGTACAGTAACTCAGAACTTGTGGACTCATTGTTACAACAAACACTGCACATACAGATTTTCAAACCCCACACCAACCTTCTCCATCTCCTCCCAGTTGTAGTTATTGTTGCCGACCACCATGGCCATCAGCTCAGACGGCTGGAACAGCGACAGGATCTCACCCCCACACACCTTCAGGAAGCCAGATGAGAACGCCGAGTACTGCTCGCTCACAGAGTCTGAGAACACGTAGCGCAGGTAGGCCTCGACAAACTCCTTCCTGTATCACACACACACACACACACACACACACACACACACACACACACACACGTTAACTAAACATTCAGGTTATTAATTCGCTTGGCACAGATGCTGTACGCTCATGAATCAGTTTATAAGAAAATAAATTATTCAGACTTCAAGGTGTGACTGTAAACACTGGCTTCCTCCTCTATTGTGTATGCGTTTGTGTGTGTTTCTGTATGTATGTAAATGTATATGTGTGTGTGTTATGACTAAGTGGATCATTATTTCAGCGATTTTTTTAAGATCACAGCAGTTCATTAACAAACTTCTAGTCCAGCCTGTTTATATCTCAGTGAGCTGTGACTGCAGAAGTTGCTCAGGTAGATTAAATCAATAATCTCTTCAGTTGTATCCACCTGTGAGTCCATCATTACAAATGCTTGCAGTGCAGGTAAACATTGCTGAGCCCTCTAAGATTTATTTAAGTTTTAGAAACCACACTAAACCTAAACCGCATGAAATGATGAATTTAAAAAATAATGTAACATTTCAATGAGATATAAAATTGCAGCCATAAAAAGCAAGGCATGTATTAGTTTAAATGTCTCCATAAATATAAGCATCATATAGCATCAGTGAGGTATCAGAACAATGTGTGCATGTATGTAAAATATTGTTTGGAAAAAAGTTTTAATGAGACGAAATCTGGCAGCATGAGATTTAAAAATTTAACAAAGTATTCATCACTGATAAATTCATTGAGATGACAGGACTGCTCCAATTTTTGTACAATTTACAATCAATTTTATATTCATTTGAATTTTATTTAATACAAATTAACTGAATTTCTTATTTATTGGTAAATCATTATGTAGAGATGGATGTGCACTCCTTTTTTAGACCTGTATGTGACAGATTTTCAGGAAAATCTGGAAACATTTTATTCCACACTATCTTATTATTAACATCGGTTGGGGAGAGGTGAAAAACATGTAATAAAATTAATACTTTAAATACATTTTGCAGCTTGCTGGTAGTTCAACTACATTCATATTTGCGCAAGTAGTCAAATCCAAATTTTTTATGATTTTATGTGTAGCTAACTGACACTACAAACAATTTGTACTCCAGGTATAGCAATGAATTCAGTTGAGTTCAAGGGTGTGACTTGAGTTGAGCTTAAGAAATACGTGCAGAGAAAAAACAAACAACCAACAGACTGTCACATACTGTACCTGCAAACACCGTAAGAAACAATCACTCACACCTCTCTCTTAAAAAGGTCAGAAGTTGAATTTCAAATCAGTGTAATAGGATGAGGTATTCAGTTCAAAACCCTTTATAATTCATTTTATTTATATGACGCAACGTACTGAGCAGCAGTCTTTCCAAGTTTGTGTTTACCCATCAAGGATCAAGGGTTAACCTAACCTAACCCAACCTAACTTGAGTTTACATGACTTCACTTCACAGTATCAACAACAGCTTTAGCGATGAGGTGTTGACTGATTTACAATCCCAAACAGAAAAAAACATTGCACTCTTTTGAACCCTCTTTCACCACTCTCACAATATACACCTGCCCTTAATAAAATGATGACTTGCTGTTTTATGACATACAGCCATATCATCCTGTTTAAACAGGAAAAGAATGAAAACAAGGAAGCAAGATGCTCCAAAAATAATATTAATATACTGAGTTTCATGAAGTAAATTAGGCTGCAGGGGAAACCTGCTTCTTAGCTTCATATAATAAACCAGCATGTAAACACTTGCAGTAGCGTTCCTGGAGCAGATGATCATATAAAGAAATCATAAGCTGACATCAGTTTGTCGATAGCAGGAAAAAAACGTTGGAAACAGTATTCAGGACAGTCTGAAGCCTTTTTGCTCACAGGAATTATTTTTTATATATGTTTACCTCATTATTTGAAACTTTGGCCACCTTTTAATATGAACATTCAACACTGTAATAATAAATATATGACATAAATTAATGAAAAGCATAATAGATTCCTACAAATCCAATCACACCCACACTTTACGAAGCCCTGCGAACACAAACACTCCGATTAACTAACCTTCAGTCTCAACTAAACACGTCTCCCTCACTGTGTGTGGATGTTTTACACCACAGCACCAACCGCTTTCTCTCTCTGTTATGAGTTTATATCTGAGTGTTGAGGGGATTTTGCAGGAACAACTTGGGTCACCGCCACTCTCGCCATCTGTTCATCACCAGAAGCCAGACGTGTTGACACCGCCCACACCGCAACTCTCCGCGGACTCCTCCACATAACACTGTAATCAATGCCACTGGCACAAGGACGAGCTGAAGAAACAGGGTGGTGATGGTGGAGAATAACACGCTGGGTGGCACTTAAAATACCAAAATCTTTGTTGTCTATGTTTTCAACACAGAGCATGACCTTCAGACGGAACAATGGCAGACAAGCTGCCAGCTGTGTGAGCGAAATGACAATCTCAGTGCTGGAGAAATAATATAATTAAAACCTCAGAGTCATATATTTGTCTTTCAGACATAACAGAGTGTAGAGCATTAAAAATATTCATGACACAAGGTCATTTCGAATCAGGAAATGAACTGAAGGAAGAGCTGATGAATTTATTCTTTAAAAAAAGGACTGAATCTGCTGAATTATGGGTTTAAACTATTGGATATTTGATCCATCAAGCTGCCTCACCTGTTGTTTTTGTCCACACTGATGCTCTCTCCTCCAGGTATGAGCTCTTTGACTTCTGTCATCCCGTAGTTCTCCCTGGTGATCTGACACATGAACACAACAGCCAGGCTTAGAACAAAGTTTTGTAGTTTTTACACTGCAGGAGTGAAGTGTAGACATTACATATCTTTTTCTTATTGTCAAAAAATTCAATAAAAAGACCAAAACTAATATGAATTGATCGTGGCAGTCGAACATTGGTGGATCGTCTAATGAACCCATCTAACATTAGATCACATTCTGGGCACATGAACACACACACAGAGCGATCACCGACGTAAATTTAAATAATTTACACAATAAACATTTTTTGTTGTCATCTCCGCCAGGCATAAGCCTGAAGATCATGCATTTGGTCTTGTGTATGTGTGTGTGACTGTGTGTATGCGTCTGTCTGCAGTTTATCTTGAATACGACCAGACAAATCAGTCTAATAGGTTGTGTGTACATTTATGACTGTATTCTCAAGAACCTCTTGGGGTTGCGGTGATTCATAATTGTTAAGAAACCTGTTTTATTGACCGTTCTATATCGTCATTGACTGCTGACTCGTCACCTCTCTTAACTGGCTGGTAGAAGCGGCAAGTTTTTCCAGAAATCTGCTCGGCTAATAACAACAAGCCTCACCTGGTCTGTTTGCAGGCCACATTTTGGCCTTTGTCTTGTCTCAAAAACTGACATCCACAGAAAAGTTTAGTCTCATTTTGAGCATTTTAAGCCTATTACACTAGCTGCTTTTAATAATTCCAATCATTAATATTAATGATTCTGATCTCTGTGTTTTTGGTAGCAGATTGGAGTCAGATTTCGAGGTATTCCCTGTCACTACCGCACACACATTATCCTGCTGCTGTAAACACAAGTGCACTATCTGTGTATTAATCTGCAACTACAAATAGTCGCTAAAACTACTGCTAAAAACTGCAGTGTCCAGCTATTTCAGCAAACGATTTAGCCTTTTTAAACATGAAACGCTTTTATTTTTATTTTAAACTTCTTCAGTAGAAACCAAAGGGCTTGGAGCTGGGTGCCACAGACAGGGTCTGGAAATCTTAAAGTTTTAAGAGGATTGTCATGTTGTTGGTTTCTGGTCTTTTCATTTCATTGGGTTGATTTATTGACCATAAAATACCCTAAATGCATCCTTAAAGTTAGCATAAAAGAGAGAAGCAGGTGAAAAGTTGCACTTACAGCAAAATTTAAAAGAAACGTCTCCTCCACATCACCTCCTTCATAGTCTAGAAGCTGTTGTAGACTCCTGCAGAAAAATAAACAGAAGGAGTAGATGTCTGAAAGGACCAATATGATTGACACATGATCATGTCAGTGGGGTGATGTTAAAAAAACAAAAAAAGAAAAGGTGAAGGCAATCATCATTACACCACACGGTATGACTCTAGCCAAACATTTCATATGAGAAATGGCTCCGTCATGCATATTATTATTGTGCATACCTGAGTAGTTTATTTATAGTTGAATAGAATATATCTCTGACTCTGTGGGATCGTACCTCTGCTTTTTCCAACATATCACACAGTTTGTTACATTCACCTACAGATTTAAATCTGTCCCTATTTGACTTATAAAATGAAAACCAGGGAGCAGCTGTGTCTGTCCTACAACTGCACGGATCAAACCAACATGGTCTGTTAGATTAAAAGTGAAGTGGAAACATATTAGCTAATAACACCACAGGAAATGACTCAGAGGGAGTGTTGTGTTAGTTTTCCTGCAAACAGCATGCTGGATATTTACCACCAAAAACACAGGAAACATGGAAAGAGGAAGTGAAGCTGGCAAAGGAAATGATAATTAGTGAAAGAGGATTAGATACTGTCCTCTTTTAATTTGACCCCAGCTACATAAGACAATAACATTAATCAGTTTTGAGCCACTGCATTTTACAGTTATGTAAACAATGTCTTATCTCTTTCTTGTCAGTGTGAGGTAGCCAGTATTGTGGCTTTAGTCTGTCGAACTTGAACTGCTTGAACTTTTCCGATAGTTAAAATTAAAGCATATTACATAAAATGTTTCTCAAGATCACGTCCTTTAAGGTGGTGTTGTCTCTGTTAGTGTCACAACGTCTGCACAGCCCGTCTTTTAGCTTTCAGAGGACTAATCTCAAAATCAACAGTCAACTAGTCTCAATTAGGCAAAAAGGAAATGCTGATGCTTCCTGCTCCAAATTCAATGAAAAGGCATTTCCCACTGGCAGTCAATTTCACTGCTCCTTAAACAAAAACACACTGGCTATGCAAGCTTGCTTAATAATTGTACACTATGTAGTTTGACTTGTAGCCAGAGAGCAAGAATTTCTCTTTGAGGCTTTTTTGGCGTAACCTGACATACCAGATGGTTTGTTACAAAAATCCGTCAGCGAGGCCATCATTGGAAACTTTTTGGAAAAGGGCAGGCACTATAAAAAAATACTTGGCAGGTGACTGGATGAACCATCTGTCTATATCCGTCCATAACAGGCCAGTTGGGAGAAGAGTGAGAAGAACTTTTCCATCGAGAGAAGCCTTCAGTTCCTTTTCCTCTTTCAATGAAGAAATACTCTCTAGCTCTGATATAACTGATGCTGTTGCAGTAAATTCATCGCAATGTCAACTTGCGTAATAAACTCATAGCAAAGGCCTGAGATATTGCACTCTTCTTGATTTCTTTGAGTTAGTCATAGGACATTATCAGCTGAAAACTACACTTAAAGGAGAACTAATGTTTTTTTCAACCTGGGCCCTATTTTCCGATCTACTTTTGTCTAAATGAGTGATAGGATGTTCAATAGTTGACATTTCTCTGGTACGAAGCTAGGGCTGACCTGCCTGCAGTCCGTGAGCGCGTGCTATATTAAATAATAGGGCACTCAGACAGGCTCGGATTGTTAGTATAATTATCCGACAACATAAGGGAAAGGAGAAATGAATGTCTGTGTTTACTTTAAGCTGGATTCAGACATGTTCCTCTGCCTGTTGCAATTTTAGTATATGTGCTACCAAAGTAACACTGCTCCCTCTCCTCGTCCGCTCTTCAGTTTCAATGAGCTCTGCATCCATGTACATCTGTGTACTCCGTGTTCAAATGAATACTACTCCGTGTTCAAATGAATACTAATTAGTCCGAACCACTTGTGGTTTTGACAGAAACGCATTTAAGTGTGACAAGATGGATTCTCGCGTGATCTCCCAATATCGCAACAATCCAGCTGCCGTGCAGGGTTACTAATTACTTCCTTTTTAAAAAGAACAAAACTAATGCCATAACAACTTCCCACAGTGAAATGTCTAAGAAAAAACAAAGCTATCATCTGTGTGAATCTTATATAGGAAAAAATAAAAATACTTTATATTGCTGTCCTGCTCTCCTTTACAGCTCAGATGGGATGTTACCTGGCCTCGGTGGGGGAGAGCTCCTTGAAGTCCTCCAGCGTCGGTGGCACATCGAGCAGCTTTTTGTAGAGAACCAAGGGGAAGTGGAGGTCCACCACCGTGGAGTTGTAGATGGCCAGACCGCAGATGATCCCGATCAGGTGAAACCAGTTCTGTTCAACAAAACACTGCAAACACACAGATAAGAACATTATTTTACTGTTGCTTCTCTGTACTCATCTAACATCTACCAGAGCACACATCACAGTGTACATCAGCATAACTGATGACTCAAATAACACACACCCCACAACTATAGTGAGCATGTCCCTAAAAAATTTCTATTTCTTTGTGTTTCATACATTTTTCTTCTACTCTCCTCTTCAAACTCCATAACGTCTGAGTAAAAATAATTAATGTTTTCAGTTAATATAATAAATAAAAGCAGCTTGATGTTGCACAGACATAAAAGGTCATGATGATTTGATCTGTTTCATTGCTCAATCTTCATCATTTGAGTTAAGTAACCAGAGGGTCATTAAGTTCAAGGACACATTTTTCTTATAGAGGTGAGTGTTTTGTAAACCTGAATGTTCCCACTGATGTAACACCAAGAAATGGAGGCGTTTCTTGGAAAATACAGCTAAAGGTCAAACAACAGCCAAAGCACACACTCTGGAGACCCATTATGAGATTAATGCTATCGAGTACTATCAATTCTTTTTTACATAACTTGGCAACCTGTCCTCCCCTCCCATCTCAAATTTTTTATTAAAGGTTCTGTATGTGACATTCAGATCATTAATATAGTAGCAAACCACTATTTGTATTGTAATGATATTGTGTGTGTGTGTGTGTGTGTGTGTGTGTGTGTTGTAACCTGAGCTTCTCCATGGTTTCTTGAGGTAGAATGTCGCATGTGCATGTTAGTGCATGTGTGTATCACACTGGATGGCTTATCATTGCCACTTCGCACTGCGCTCATACAGGGGTTATTGCTGCCATTGTGGCCGGTGTCGTTGTAGAAACATAGCACACACATAGATTTGAATAATAACTAGATATCAGATGCCACAATGGCGCTTATTGATTCCAATGGAGTTGCTCACCTGGTGCATACGCTTAAAGTTTTCTAGCCTCTGGGTTGACTTCCACGGTATGTGGCCCACTAAGTATGAGTTCTTGTCAGCTCATGGACTTTACATCGTGATGACGTCACAGATTTTTAAATTGCTTTTCTCGGCTTGAGGAAAATTTTATCAATATAAAACGACCATGGCTCAAAAATTCAGAAGAGTTCAGAAGAGAGATTCAGTTTGTGGTGTCCTGTCAACAGACGTCACTTTTACAGTGGTGGTTAATGGGGAAAATGCTTTTTGGGCCACTGGGGATTTTTTGCTGCGATACAGCGTGTGGCCACTGTGAGAAATTTGCTGGAAGGCTGAGCTGCTTTCCTGGGGTCCTGAGCACCCACCCTCCAGTTCCCCCCAGTCTGACAATGAGTTAGCTTTTTTAATTTTATTTATTTTTTGCATTTATATGCAGACATCTGTTTTTTAACTAGATTTAACTAAATGACCCATGCACAGAAGAAGAAGTCTTGGCCTGGACATCCACTGGCTACACAGGATCAGCCCAAAATATTGGCCCTCACCCTCAGAGGCTGTATCGTCGTCAGATGACAGCCTATGGACTCTGAGACTGGAGCCCCTTTGAACTGTACAAGTTAAACCATTAGCATGTGAATACAGGATTATCTTACTTTGTCTGAGAACCACAGCAGGTTGGACTCTTTGTAATGTGTGAACATCCCATACACAGGATCCATCAGCTCCTTTAACAGCAACAGGAAGAACTCTTTTGTTACTCCACCTGCATCCACGGCCTCCTCTCCATCAAAGATCACCTGGAGGGAGGGAGGAGGAGTGGGTGATGTTTTCTTTTATCAGAATCCTAGATCTGCAGTGACCTTCAAAAGCTTTAGACGTAACTCTCACCTTGAGCGGTTTCTTGAGGTCCACATCGGAGTACATGGTGAGCTCACGTAGTGTGTCACTTACTAAATGGTTCCTGCGCACATGGAGCACCAAGTAAGGGTTCCTAGCAAGGTGGGGTTCCAGTGTGAGCAACATGAAGACGTTGTGTAGGTTTGCACCGCTTACTGCCATCTTTGTAACAGTCACAGGTTGAGGTGGTAAAAAGCAAGAAAAAAAGAGTCAGTTTTTTTAAAATACTTTTACTGAGAACAAATAAGTTAAACCTCAGTGATCTAACTATATAAAACCACAAGATCAGATTTACAGCAGGTACCTGCATTTGCAGTTCAGCGTCTGTTTGCAGCATGGTTGTCTTGGCTTGAGCGTTCAGTATGAACGGGTAGGCACATAGGTTCACTGCGGGAAAGTCACTCTGCAGAGAAAATAAGGTCATATACTGCATTTATGACACCACAAAAAGGTGATCAAATTAATCAAATACGTAACTTTTGATACTCAAGTACAATCTTTAAAGTACCTGTGAAGGGGAGGATGATCCCACTTTCTAAAATACAAAATGAGAGAAAGCAAAGTCATTTGACCTGACTTAGAATGAAAAACAAGGTGAAGAGCAGCAACTGTAATGAGATTAAGAAATCCCTTTAGGGCCCGAGGAGTTAGAGGGGCTTGTCTGTGAATTTAGACTCTGATTGGCCAGCAAGAACTGACAAACAGCGACACACCCCTAAGCAGTTCTGGATAAAATTCCTCACTGTCTCTGCAGACACTGGGAATAACATGAGTAAGGAGTGTGTGTTTATGTGTGTTTGAGTAGCTTCAGCAGATGTCAAGTAACAAGGAAGTGAAAAATTGTTGGAGAGCGTCAGTACTCACAATGTCAGCTTTACTCAGAAACCATTTGAGGTAGTCTTCCTGGATGTCCACCAGGCTGGTGATGTCAGGGATATAAAAGCGGTTGTACTCTACATGGCGGGCCTTTAAGTTTACCTGGTAACAGAGAACAAACACCTGCCTCAACTCCAAGAAATGTCAAGGTACACAGTAGGACGATTTGACTAGGAAAAGCACATTTCCTCCTCAGGCTGTACTGAGGGACAGTGCAGGCTGATGGCTTGTTCGTGTGGATACCTTGTGAAGTTTCTCCAGCAGCCTCAGTGTGGCAACAAAATAATTTTCGTAGAACACCGGTACGAGCAGTGTCTTGCCTCCTGTCAGCATGAACACAACGATGCTCTTGTACATGTCGACCATTCTGGTGAACACACTGCCATCCACAAAACACCACCAGTTATCTGCAGGGGCAGAGACAAAGGTTGAATTAAACGACAGAACAAATACCTGGCACTGAGAAAACATGACGATATTTTCCTACAACCACAAGAGGAGTGTCTCCATTGATCTGTCAGTGTTTCTGAACATTTCTAGATGTAAACATGTTTGTGTTCAAGCATATTCATGCACAATTTCGAAACCCATAGGCTTTTATCTGATGATGTTAAAGCGTGCCAATATATCGGGCTGATTCGGAGTAACAGATATTCGGGCCAAAACGTCCTCTAATGTGCACTGGCCATTTCAAATCGTGTAGGCAAATAAATTAAATAATGATATCTCATTGTTAGATGATTACCAATGGATTTCGAGAGTGCATTTCAACCAATGCGCTCTGCCTCTCCACACAGACTGTTTACCTGCTGTTCAAACGCGATTAGTCAATACTTCTCTGACAAACGGAAAATAGAACACTTTTGATAACCAAATCTTGAGCCGTCATCTACAGATTCTGCATATATAGGCAGATATATGTTTAAAGAGATTAACTCATGCATGAACAATAAATGTGAAAAAGCAGGGCCCACATACATGTACTGTTTGTATACTATATTTGCAGGTATCGGTATGCTGATCAATTGAAGAACTTGTTGAATGTTCGAACGGCATCTAGAAAACCCTCCCCACCATACTGTTCAACATTGAAATTAGAGGGTCTCGGGACAATCCAGCATTTACGCCCACTTCGCACGGCGATTGGTCAGATGTGAAGAGTTGAGAACTTCTGTCTCTAGCTGTCTTCTTTCATTCTTCACACAGTTAGTGCAACACCATGAATGTCTTTAACTTTTTAAATTTTTTAAACTTTTTTTAATCATCCCAATAATGTGGCTTGTGCCACAACCAAAACAATTGTTGGATCAATATGAAAAGTATTGATGTTAACATTTTTTGCAAGGCTTAACAAAGGTGTTTAAATCATAGACTGTAAAAATAATGGACATAACTATTGTAACGTCACCTATTGGTATGTGGACTCCTGTTTAGAAGCCTTAGGTTTGGCATTTTGGCCGCTGCCATCTTGTTCTTTTGGAGATTGTAGCGACACCTCACAGACAGCCTGTCACTCAAAGTGGCCGCAACCCTAACTGTGCATAACTTTAAGCCTAAATAAAAACGTAAATGGGTGAGTTATCTAAAAATTCACCTCCTGTACAGTTGTCATGAAGGGAGTGATTAGCTATAGAGATCAAAACCATTTTTTGTACCCGGCTGTAAACGTGTTTATTTCTGCTGTAAAGTTGGGCATTTTAACATGGGGGGTCTATGGGGACCAACTCACTTCTGAAGCCTCTAGTGATGATTTGAGGAACTGCAGTTTTTGTCACTTTTGCACTGGCTTCATTATTCAACTCCAGAGGTTGCTGCTCGACTTAAATAAATATTACGATGTTTCGAGGTAGTCCTAAGCTGAGATCTTTTTTGGCTGTGTGGCAAACCGTTTCTTTGGTTTTGATTCTTCTCAGCTGAAGAGCATTGCTTACTGAACTTTACTACTGTGAAAAGGACATCTGATTTTACCAAATATCACTATTGGTTTTAAAACCAATCCATCAGACTATATTTCCTGTATTTCTGGAATCATGTTCTTGCTTGTTGGTGTTAAATAAGTGACGTGGATGAGGATGCTGACGAACTATAGATGATTAGTAATGTGGTGTGATGGTGCCACAGCTGTTGACATGACATGATGTTCTGTGTTCAGTGTTCTGCTCCCTAAGACGCTTTTAAATTACTTGATTGTTATACAAAAGAAAAACTTGTAATGAGTGCATGCAAGCATGATACCCAATACTTTGCTGGGGTTGGTGTCTAGCCGGAGGATGGCCATTGCCAGGGGGATAGTGAGGCGGATGTAGTTCTTGGAGTCCATCAGGGCCGGGTACTCGGACAAGATGAGGTAGATCCTCATGGCCTCGACATCAGGAGGAGAGCGCGGCAGCTGAGGGATCAACAGACTCTCAAAGCTCTTGGTAGCCTGAACAGAAAAGTTGGGCACAGAAAGAGAGAAGATTATGTTTAGTTCTACTTTTAATTAAACATGTTTAAAGGGGAAAGTATTTGAAATATATTATATTAAAATATGTTTGAAAGCTACAAGTATTAATTAATAAACCAGATAAATTTATGAGATGTTTTTCAATTCCAAAACAGCTTGGATAAAAAAATATCAGTCATTAAATTTTGGGAGAGGCTTTTAGCGGTTTGGAATGCGGCCTCAGTCTCCACACAGATTATAATTCATGTTGAGGTGCATGGACCCCAAAGCTGTCATTACTGAGCTAATGTTAGATGTTATGACTCACTGCTGGATCTGCCGCAGAACTTGGTATACTTTTAAAACAAGACCAGTATTCACATTCGGATATTTTCTTAAAACCACAAGCTCAGTATCCGACAAAGTTCCTCCTTTGACTGCTTCATTACAGTGACAAAAACCCAAACAGGAAGCTAGTTTGAGTCTTCATTCGATATAAAATCTGAGTCATGTTAGGCCCTTGCTCAGAGGAGAGAAGAGATGTTATTACCTTGTGCACATATAATTTTCAAACACACTATTCGTCAGTACCTGCTCCAGAAGTCCAGAGAAGGCCGGTTTGTTGAGCGTCTCAAATAGCGTCCTGACAGAGTTTAGATCGATGCCTGGGATCTTTGGGTTGGTTTTGAAGTGGGTGTCATCACTGAGAAAGCAAACAAAGACACGATTATGTGTCCACTATCCATGATGTCTCAGTGATCACTAACAGGGTAATAATAGGTCAGAGCTCAGATTCAGGGACTTTGCCGTAAAGCCTCATTGTGAAAGGCACACGCTACTTTGGATTAAACACCAATGGTTAGATGAACACACAGCCTAAAGGTATTTATGTCAGGCTCTGAGCAGATCTCCTCTTCAGCCGGGTAGAGTTGAGGATAGTGAGTACAAACCGATGAACACGCCTGCACAAAGCCAACAAAACCCTTTGGCAACTATTTAGAGTGTAAGCCTTCACATTCTCCAAGCACAGGTTTTATTTAGTCATAACACAAACACATCAGATCTGATCTATGGAGACCGTTTGCCAAACAAAAAACACTGATGCAGATAGTACACTGTGAGCACTGATCCACTTTATTTTGGGAACTACTATACAGGATTTTCCAACACAACAACATACTATACACAGTAGACTCATATAGGAGTCATCACCTATGCTCCACTACAAGTGTGTGGCAGTGTATCTTTCTGCAGACCCTCTGCCTTTATGTTCTTATGTTCTGTGTTCGGGAAGTGTATGGGTGTGTATCTACCCATCTTTGAGGTGAGGTCAGGTCTTTATAAACAGGTAGCGACTGGGTACCAGACCATGAGCAGCAGGCATCCAAGAGACACAGTGTCAAAGCAATGCAAACATAGCAAGGCAACAGGCCAAACGAGAGTGAATCTGTGGCTTGTACTTTCTTTGGCGAGCGTGTTTACAAACAGTGACCGACAATCCTACACGATAAACCTTTAACGAACAACATGAGCAGTCTCATGGATCTCAAATCTAAGATGGATACAATGAAAATGACAACACAAAACAAACAAGTTTTAGATCCCTGACTACAGTTTACATATAGGTCATGTTTTTGCTGACCATTATACAGTTTTATTGATGTGTTTATGATATGTTTTTACCCTTCCGTTCCAGGCAGTGATTGGTTTCCAGTCATTTACATGTGATATAAAACTTTATTAGTGGACTTTTGAAACCTTTTGTTGCAGACTCAGGGCCATATCTTACACCTAGCGCAGAGCGGTACAACTGTCATTGCTAGTCTCAGACAGACGCAGTTGTCATTTTCATGGCCAGTGCTGACATTATGTAAGTAGCAAATATACTTGTACCCATCTGTGCGCCAATGGGCGTGTCATTTTTAAAATAAGGTGTGGTCAGGTGCATTGTTGGCATATTAATATTTTGAGGCAGCAGGAAGTGATTGCACCATTGACCAGAAAGATCCAGGTCTAAAGTCAATCGCGGAGTATTTTCTTAATATTTAAAAGGCACATTTATTTTAAAGGAAGATGCGTCTACACAGTCAGGTTCACAACATGCTAACACTGTCCTTGTTACAAACACAGGGACGTGTGGATGGGTTGCGAGTGGGCAAAATGAAAAATCAGGTGCACCTGGCTTTTAAAAGGAATAGGAGATGACACTAGTTACAGACACACCCTATAATAAATTAAGGGACTGAATACAACCCCTTTGCCCCTTGTGTCGTACTTTGCACCCAGATATGCACCATTTAATTAGCAAAAGAGGGCAGAGCAAATCTGTTTAAATGTAGCAGTAATATTTCAAGATTATGTGCTTAATGTTTGACAGGTGATCAAGATGATGAGCATTGTGTTATCTGTAGGTTTGACCAACAGTATATGTGATGAACACAGAAACAGCTTAATTAAAATATACTTCAAGATTAGAGCAAGCACTCTCAAATTTGAATATGTCATATCAAAAATATCAAAACCATTCTTATGTTTTTTTATAACAATGACCAGATTCAAGTAGTTATTGTCAGTTTTTGTCTATTCTTTATTCAATTTTTCCTTATTTGTTGAGTGTCAGCTACTGTCTCCATCCATTTATCTTTGCTTTCACATGTGGGTGTACACTGAATTATAATAATAGTAATATCATTGTGGAACAAAATGTAATCAAATCATGTCATATTAATCCCCCTCACTGTTCCTTCCCTCTCTCACATGGCTAGTGGCAGTAATTACTTGTACAGAGATACTCTGTTACAAACACAAGTATTAACATTAAAATATACTTGAAATACAAAGGTAAAAATGGCCCATTTCAGTTGAATGTATAATATACTATTGGATAATAACTATTGATGCATTAATGTATGTATGAGATGGGGCTGATTTTATGTACTTTAGATGTTACTGGTAGTTGTTGCTTAACTAAGATGTAGATTTTGCATCCATAATCTTAATCTACAAAGCAAAAAAAAATGTAGTGGAATAAAAAGTACAATATTTGCCTCTGAAATACAGTGTAAGTAGAAGAATAAAGCAGCATAAAATGGAAGTACTTAAGTACAAGTAAGTCAAAATTGTTCTTAAAAACAGTATGCTGATGGTTTCATTGACTTATAATTTCTGGTGAGTGTCAGTCGGTTCAGCAGACAGTTCAGTATGACGTATTTTAGGTTGTCTCCATACTTCTGTTTTCCACCTGGATGGCGGCCACAGTTCATTCTCTCGACACGATAAGTATCTGCTGATGAATCTGTCCTAAAAAGCCAACACACCTTCACACACACACTGACAGTGACCGAACAGATAGCATCTCTCCCAGCCCTGACAATCAACATGTTTAGGTGGAAGAGACATGGACCCTGTGAGGTCCCGGCTGAATCAGTTCCCAGGAGTCTAGCCTACATGAGTCGCACCAGGTCCACAAACACATGGTGGAGGTGCAGATAGACTCAAAAGTGATGAAAACCTTTTTAAGTATGCTGTACTGTCCAATTTAATTTGATAATATATTTTTCAATCAGTGAACAAAGCCAAACAGATACTCTGAAGACTAGTCTGCTGTGAGAAAAGCTACATGTCTGTAGCCTGTACAAAGGCCTTTGCTTCTCCCACTAGACGGCAGGTATTAGTTTCACATCCAGTCCTGAACTTAAGTTCCTTGCACACAGCGCGGTTATGTACAGAAGATCCATTGTGACCACCTTGATTAAATCTTGTATAACCAGCATGGGACTGTTAAGCATGATATCACCTCCTTATTTGTTCCATTTGTACTAACAGTCTGTGTTTTGTGCTTTATCCCCTCACCATTTGATGCTTTAAAGCAGGGATACGCAACTTGATTTGCTCGGGGACCACTTTTATAAAATGACAGGGGGCCAGTTGATAAACAAACAATAATATTTATCAGTATATATAATACATGAATTGCCGGTTTTCAGCCTTTCAATGTTAATTGTCCTCACTCTTTTTGTGCCCAACGGTAAATCCAGTTGAAGCAGCACTGGGCAGGTCAGGTGTCCGTGGGGGTGTTTGTAGGATGTGAGGACATTTGGAGCTGAGACTGAACCTCTGCTGGGGGGTCCAAAGGATCCTCTCCTGCTCTGTTTTGATGCTTTTTATACACCTTGGCATCCTATTTACAATACATTCAAAGTACACACATACACAAAAAAAAAAAAAATCTTTTCGTTTTCATTTTGAATCAGAAAATAGTTAGTGGGCCTAGCCTGGTTCCAGACCATAGACCCGCCCACTCAGCTGAGTAGGCTTGCATCTCTGGTCTGGCATACTGCAATGAATTTGCGATTTATCTCGTCCAAACGATGGACGGACCAGTGAACGCCAGGGGTGGGGGCGGGTCTAGCGATTAGCCAATCAGCGCCACACTGAAGTCAAGCTGTACGCCGGTAGGTAACTGGTGAGGATAGCAACAATGGCGCTGGGCGTGCACGACGACGGAGACATTTTAAACGGGCAATGCTCGCTTGTTTTCGGCACCCCCGAGGCATGGATACTAATGAAGTCAAATTCTGGGTGAATCGTTGATATCTACTGATTGGATAGGGAAAAATCAAATTCCCTCCCCCTTGTAAATCGCCTTCAATGGAGGCAGTGTCAGACTGAAGGTTCTGGGAGCTTCAGTCTGACACCGCTATAGCGGGCCACATTTGGTCCATGGGCCATAAATTGAATATCACTGCTTTAAAGGGTACATTTCTGGGTACTTTTGTTTTCCTATTGTCATTTTAAAACTTCTAGTGGTGGAAGCAATATTCAGATCCTTCATTAAAGTACATAAGCATTATTAGCAAAATGTACTGAAAGTACTGAAAGTAAAAGTGTTCGTTCTACAGAAAAACAGCCCTGATTGGCATATTGTTATATATTATATAACATTGTTAATACAGATTGTTCACTGTGTAAGCAGCATTTCACGATTGTAGCTACAGCTTAACATACAGTTAAGTCCAGTGATTTCCAATCTAAGGGTGGGGTTCCCCCTAAAGGGTCACCTGATAAATCTGTGAGGCTGTGAGATAATAATAGGAGAGAAAAGACATTCTGCTGCAAAACTTCTTTGGGCATCAAACTATTATTAATGAAGCCATCTAAGAATTTTAGAGGGGAAATGTCTCTCCTAACATCTCACAGACATCTGGAACACGACAAGGAGTGATATAATAAACTTTTTTTGTAGATAGTGAAAAATGATGGGAACCACGGGTTCGGTTTTTAAAATGTATTGTATGTTTATCTTTAATCTTTTAAAAAATGTAAAAATCTTTAGAAAATCTTTTTAAGTAATGAGCAACCACAGCTGGTGTAGTGGAGTAAAAAGTGCAGTATTTCCCACCTAAATGTTGTGGAGTACCAGTGTAAAGTAGCAGAAAAATGGTTAATCTTAGTCTGAAAAGTAAAATGCAGAATCTCCAAACTGTATTTCAGTACAGTACTTAAGTTGGCACTAAGTCAGTTATGTTAATGTGGTGTTTACATACCTTTGGTCCAAAAAGCTGCCGTTCCAACAAGCAGTAGAGGAAAGTTGAATTATGATGTCACTGTGCACAAAAACAAAAAAGCAGAGTACAGAGAACATTAACATTTGATTTATTAAAATCGAGCCAATTGATACTACACATCTATATGAGAAGGGCCATTTTAATATACAGTACAATCAAATACATTTCAAACAGTAATGTTTATTATATGACTTACTTTGTGACACTTGAGTCTGTGCTGTACATCAGCTTTAACCTCCATGAATTTAATCTTTCATAATTGATTGGGGAGAGTGATCTACTGATATTTATCACCCTGAAGTCTTCTGGGGGGACACAGTTCTGCAGAGAGGAAGATAAACAGAGATAAAAATCACAGACATTTGGAGGATTGTTTGAACTGGTACTTCCACAGTTTGAGCTTCAGTCTGGGTTGTGTCTCTTTCCTCCACCAAGATAACATAAATAGGCCACGCCTCAAGTCTAAATACTCTGCTGTAGAGCCTGAATGTGTGTTATGTCTTTATCAGCGCACATTCCTGACAATTTGCTTGAAATTTGTAGCAGACAGTTGTTCCATATAGAGTATAGCGCCTTTGTAGGAAGTGGGAAGAGCTTAGACATTAATGCCACCCTGTGGTGAAACACTGAAACTGATTAAATGGAAAGCATCATCAAAAGAAAAGTTATTTTGGGGGTCTTTTTTTTTATTAAGCTGCTTATTTTGAAATTGTTTTAATCAGCATTTCTTCTGTAGTGATTGTGATTAGGTTGAGGTTTCTGTTGAGGGTTAAGTGCTGATGGTAAGGCTAGAAGAAAGGTTCAACTTACAGTCCAACTTCAAGAACTAACTCAGGTTAGACGATACAGTGTGCAGTAAAAAACAGTGCAGTAAAATGCTGAATAACATGTTCAATTGCAAAATATGCTGCAAAAGTTAGGCTTTCAAGTCTGTGATTACAGAGCTGCAAAAACTGAGGGGAGTGACAACATTTAACAGAAAACTATAGACAGTTACAGGCAACAAGCTGAGGAGGGGAAAGGGTCACTAAATTCTTAATTAAATCACATACCTGATCATTGGAGTACAATAAGAAGCTATGGTCTCCTCCACAGATGATTTTGGTCACTGTATATTGTCTTGATTCTAATAAAGAGAGAGAAACAGCAGGTTAGCTGGGAAACAATGTATAACAGTTAATCAAATAATTAGTTTGAGTAGATGTAGTTCTTGCTTTTTGAAGCATTTTCAGCTGTGGAAATTGTATGACCATGAGTATACTGCTGAAGGATAAAGGATACTATATTGTGGCAATAATCAAAATCTGAAAATCTAATCTTTGTAAAATAGTTTTCATGGTCAACTTCTATCTTAGAAAAGATTCTCCTGTGTCCCACATCCACTGGATTATAATTTCAGCAAACACACATCACAACCTAAATTTTGATCATTGAAATACCACAAATAGTGTTCATCCAACCACTCAAAGTCGAGTCACCTTCATACACTGGTGGCAGAGGCTACATGCAGACTGGAGGAGCCGGAGATCAAACCTCTGATCTTCCGATTAGTGAACTACCCGCTCTACCTCTGAGCCACAGCCGCCCACTTTTATTACAGTTTATTAAGAAAAATCAGTCTTTAATCTTCAGTTATTAACCTGTACATCAGCACTGCCACAGTCAACATGACAGTTAAGTACAGTTAAGTACTCAATCTGGCACTAATGGGACATTTCTCTATCATCTGTGAAAACTGTAACAGGTTGTTATTAGCTGATTACACAACTTTATGCCCTCCAACTAAAAGCCAATGTCCCTTAAGTTTTGAGCTCTCTGAAGCTCAAATTTTACCAATGTTTATGTCAACTATGTAGCACTTTAAAAAGCAAACAGGTTTTGCACCCAAGTGCTTCACAACACATACTGTATATGTCTACAAGTACAAGTATAAAGGCATATGAGTGCATAGATGTTGTGGAAATAAAGTTGATTTCATATAGAAACAAGTTTAAACATAATTTAAATCCAGTGAATCATGTAAAAACAGAAAAACAGCTTCAACACAATTAAAAGATGGTAGTTGCATCTTAAAAGCATGGACAGACTCAGCCTGTCTAATGGCCTCCGACAGGATATTTTTATGTCTATGGATGACTGTAAAGTGGTGATAAAATTTTCGCCCGTGTAGTTTGTCTTCATATTTGCAAATAATACATTGAACAAATAATCATGCAATAAAAAGAGGTAAAGTATACCTAGTAGCCAGGCATTTCAAAAAGCCATTTAAGCCACAATCATATATGTCATATATGCTGTAACAGAGTCTTCTGCTTACCTGTTTTATGGAAATTCCCAGTCAGAGAACTGGACTTGACAGGAAATGGGGTCCTGGCATCCCCCAGTATTCCTGTGCCCAGCTGGCCGTGGCTGTTACAACCAAACGCGTACACTACACCAGTGGAAGGCACAAACGCCAACGTGTGGTGCCTGACAAAAGGGGAAAAGCAAGATTTAGGATGCAGAGGGACAGACCCTGCCTCTGATACACTGAGGTCACTAGTTCACTACAAAACACAAATTAAATGTCCCCTTAATCATAATCTTTAGTTTTTTGTTGATGGTGTGTCAGACAGTTGTTTATAGTTGACACAGTTTGAGCTTCACAAATATATCACTGTACTGGGTTGCATCAGGTTGTACATGTGTGCAAAATAAAATGGTCTGTGTAGGTTTAGAAGAGATGGTACCTGCCACAGGTGATCTGGGACACCTCAGTTCCCATGAGCTCCAGCACTCGTCTGGGTAAAAGTTCATTATTGGTGGAGCCATGACCAAGCTGACCCCACGAGCCTTCACCAAATGTAAACAAGCCGCCGTCCTGCCAGAAACACAACACAGAAGTCACCTTTCTGTTGTTATTATGTGAGACAGATTCCTGGCATAGTAATGCACTGAGTCAAAGTAAAATATTTTGTTTTTCTACTTGACTACACTTTAAGTGCATGTGTCAGGTGCTAGATTAAGATTAGTGAGGGTAAGGCAGTCTGGCTGAAATAAGATTTAGATTTTTATCTGTACTAAAGGTCACGTATTAAGTAGACAGTCACGACAGCAAGAATACTCTAACCGATCTGTCAAATATCTGACAGCTGACCGCGTAGCAATTAACAAAACTAGACTTTCTTACACTTGGTGGCATGCTCTCAGAGGCAGCAACACATGTTTATATCATGTGAATCTATTAACTGAAAAGCACTGGTGGGGGTTTATCTTCAGACGTACCTTTGTGAGGGCTGCTGTGTGCTCATCTCCACAGCTGATGTGAACAACTTTTTGAGACCTCAAAAATTTGATGTGGCACGGGACAGCACGGTCTGAGGGAGGTAACATTAAGAAGACAAGTAAGATCACTCAGTTCTACTGTGTAGTGAATTTACAAATGAGTGATACAACTTTGAGGAACATGGTAAGTTATGCATTTGAATCTTGTACTGTAGTTGCAATTTATCTGTGGCTTTGCTGTCCAATAGTTTTGTTTTTTACTTCTGCTTGTATATTTCCTATAGATGAACACTTGAGCACAATCCCATTTCTTATTTTTAACCCTTTTTCTCAATTCTGAGTACCCCTTTGCCCCTCGGAACAGAGTTATAAGGGGTAGTGGTTGAAATCTTCCCCTATGAAATGGGCAACCCTCCAAGACCCTGATATGTCATCAGTATCATCATCAGTGGCATCTGTGTAAATAGACACAATTATGGCAATAATGGTATTATCACATTGACATTTACCATTTGTCTAATGGAAATAGAAAGCATGGATGCTCCTGATTTTCATGCTCTCAATCAATCGAACAAGTCATCACAAAAAAAGAACTGTTTCATTACCAAGCCACTGATAGTTCTCTGTAGGCTAACGTTAGCAGCCTGTAGTCCTACCCTGCCAGTCTGCACTGATATTAGAGGATTCGCAACACGTGCAGCCACTTCCCTGCTGAACTTAAGTCAAATTTTGGGCGTCGTGTGCCATCAAAGTAGGGGAATGGGACATGGAAATATGTCAAAATGTGGGACTATCATGCACAAATCAGCAATAGCAATGGAACATCAGCTAGCTAGCTAGTTAGCCACCAAGACATCAGTATACTACTATCGATTTCTTTTTTTGTTTTGCTTGTTATAGAGAAATCAAACATAATACACATGACAATACAGTGGTTATTGTAATATTTACATCTTTTGTGACAAAGAAAATACATTTGTGGGTATCTTTGCTCATACAGCCATCTTCAAAATGATTTCTTATAACACTTGGTTTGAAGTGAGCCTCTGGAAAACCTTCCTATGGAGGGCCATGTAACCCTAACACTTTGCCCTACCCCTCTGTCCCAAGAAGAAACGTGAGACCGCAAAATGAAGGAGTAAAGGCTAAGTGGTAGTAGCAGTTGGTGTATTGGGATTGAGCCTTAGTGCTCCTATGAAACATACACACTTCTCTATCCAGTGTCAAAAATAATGGAAGTGTCTGCCTTCTTTATCCAGCTGATTATTACCTTGTTTATCATTGAGACCCAGTTGTCCGGCTCTGTTCTTGCCCCAACCAAATACAGCCCCGGACAGGGAGAGAGCAAAGCTGTGGTCTCCCCCGGCGGTTATCTGTGCCAGAGGAATACCTGCCAGAGACTTCAGGGGGTGAGGGGACAACTTGCTGGGCTCCCCTCTCCCGAGACCAAGCTGACCGCTGGTGTTCTGGCCCCATGTGAACAGCTGGCCGTCTGAGAGTGACAGAGAACAAAATATAGGTAACTGTACATTTATACCCATTATCACTAGTGCAGGCAAATATAAATGTGTTTGGTAATGTGGCACTATCTAGTTCTTAAAATAAATACATCTCTCACAGACCACTCTCTCTCTAGCCAATCTGTCTTGTTGCGTCACTGTCTTTTGATACCAAAAAATAATCTTTAAGAAATAACAGATTGGGAAAAAAGTTCTTAAAATACATAAACAATGGCTGTGTCCCAAATCTAAATGTACTGTAGTTTAGTTTAAAGCAGGCGTTATCAATGTACACAGACCAAAATGCCTCTGGACACAAGAACCAATCAGAGCAAGAAAATGTACGACACAGCAATGAGCGACACATGCAAGTTGAGGCAGTGCTTGGTTGGTTGTTCAAGCAGGGGGAAAAAAATGGTCGCTGGGTTACAAAGTTTCTCAAATTACAGCTAAACAGTGCACTAAAATGTGTTTCTGAAAACATCAGAGGCAAGAAATAGTCAATCCTGTAACAGAATCTTGATTCTTATTTGAAAGTGTGTTGCACTGGACGGAGCAGAGACTGGTGACACTGCTCTGTCAATCATCTTAGACATCTGTCCCATATTAGATAAGCAGTTATGATTGGCCTGCCCAGGATCTGGCAGATGGAAATCAGTTTGAACAGGAGGGAGACCAGACGCATCTGCCACAGCAAATGAAACATTAGCTCGCAGAGTCGTCTGGTTCCCAGGCTATGTCTGTGGAGATTTCCAAATTCATTTGATTATCAGCAAATTACAGCTTGTGCTGTATTTTGGAGGGCATATTACTTGACTGACAGGAGTCTCTGTCACAGTCAGCCTTTGTGATTGCCAATAATCAATTAACTGACTGAATTTCACTTACCATCTTGTCAGCAAAGATGAATTTGAGGTGCATTCTGGTGCAGAGTTGAAACTATGAGTCTAATCTGGATATGGACAGAGTTTGGACAAAACTAAACTACTCATGTGCTAGGAAGAGAATGTGTCTTTCACACCTTTAGAAAGTGCAATGCAGTGCTGATTCCCACACATTACTTGAGAGATCCGGTGGTCACACAGCCTCTTGACCAACCTAGGGAAAAAAAACACTTGTTATCAAACTATAAAAACATGTCTGAAGCTACTCAGTGCTCACTCTGCAAATTAAAACTCATATTCTCCTCATTTTATCAGCTGTCAGAAGATTTCATTGAATGCTACCATGGTGACATGGCTAAAGTTTGGAGATTGTCCAGGGTAAGGGACCTACATTTATTGGCTTTAATTAGACAGTTTTTATGTTTCTGAAAATGTCTAATTCATAACAGACAAGTCTCTGAGCCTAACTGTAAAGCCTGCCCCAACTTCACATTTATAAAGGTTTCACTGTACTATCATGGGAGCAGAATAATTCAAAACATTGTTATTTTGGATGTATGGCTTCCTATAAACTGAACCAGGTCATAGTACTTATACCCAAACCTCCAATCTCTTCAAGGCCATTTTCTTGATGTCTTTTTTCTCCTGTCAGGCTAAAAGCTTGAATTCCTGTACAGTATGTTAGTCATTTACCTTGGGATTCGAACAGCCGTCTCTGTAGTCCCCAGGCCGAGCTGGCCCCCTTCACCAGCTCCCCACGCAAACACTTGACCCTGCTCATTCACAGCCATGGAATGGGCCCGACCACACGACACCATTGTTATTGTCTGAGTATCCAGAGCTCCTACAAACTCTGTGGAGAGGAGGAAGAGCGTCACACGTAAGCATGACATAAAATTGGGTCAAAGTATGCCTGGCCCATTATTGTCATACTTTGTATGGTTTTACTTGCAGTTAGCAAACTACGGATGAAGATAGTATTTAATTTTATTCCAGGATCTGATGAAACAGAGAGCACTTGTCATACCCTCATGGACCCAACCCATGTGAGGCATTTAGCATGGGCATTTCATTTTATCTTTTGGACCGCCCAAACTTAGACAGTACCTCGACAGAAAACAGGCATGTACTGTATGTAATATTAACATAATAACACCTGATATTTAGGGGCTGGGAAGGTATAATAATAGACATACACAGAAAAATATCTGAGTCATCTGCGCTTTCAGCATGCGCTGTAAAAGTGGGCTTGTCTCCATCTGTGTCACACCATAGAAAACAGAGCAGTGCAGCAGGAAGCACTTGTGAGGCAGACATACTGTTGTGCAGATAATCAGAAACTGTGTAGTTGGTATTAAGTTTCCTGCCTGGTTTCCTGCTATACAGCTGGTTTATCATAGAGGGTTACAAATGCTACAGTTGCTAGAAAAAAATTACAAATACACTGTGGTTTCTATTCAGATAATATTACAGTATAATTTTAAAACATTCAATCCACAATCTACATTTTGTAGGCTTATATTCAAGTCACTAAACACACCTGATGAAGGCCTAAAACATAATTTTGTAAAGTGATTACAGTGCTTATGAAAGGTGTGGGACATCATCCAGGCAGTTTCTATCCCACACATTTGTCACCAAGGTTTTTTTATGTTAAGGTATGCAAGAACGTTCTCCTGAATAGGTCTGTTTATTTGCTCAAGGTCCTGTGATTCCTGCATATATTCATTGTTGTTACAGCTTCACCCACATGCCCATACAAAGTAACACAAACTTCCACCCACATGATACCACCACAGACCAACCACTGTCTGCAGTCACTTCACAAGCCATGAAAGCGTTTCAGATCTCCAGGATATGGTTATGTGGCTAGTCGTGCAATCTGATGTTCCCACTCAGAAATGGAGGCAGTCCATACTGACACTCTGTACAGTTTGCTTTGCATTCAAACATTTTTTGTATATAACTAAATAAAATCCATAAATTATGAAATTAAACTTGTGATATTGACACGTTTTTGCAAAAGTCATCCAGATTGTGTGATATCTAACAGCTGTAAAACAGGAGAAACTTACAGAGACCTGCAAAAATAACCTTTTTCCTGCATTTTTGGAAAGCTTCATCAGTTTTACACGCAGAAAATCCTAATGTTGTAACAACAGCACCATGAGATATTCTCAAGAGTGTGTAAGTCTACCACAGAAATTAAGTTGTAACTGCTATGATATATCTGTTTTAGTTTAATATACTTTTCAGATCAACAGGATTTCGTGGCATCTAACAGAGAGGTTGCAGAAGTGAAACTTCTCCCATGTGCCAAGCATGTTGGAAGACTATGGTTAGACTACATGTGACGCTGATTTCTTTCCTTGTCCCTTTCTTCCTTTATCTACAAGTTGCCGTTTTGCAAATTCCCTTTGTGAAAGGGAAAAAAAAACGACCTCCGAGCTGACAACTTACATGCTGAAATTGGCACGTTTTGACAGAGATTTCGATCGTGCAATAAAGGATGCCTGCTTTGTTCTTCCAGTAAACTGTTGTAGAAAGCAACTTGTGGAAGCACCTTGGAAAAGCTCTGACAGTCTCACAAGACTCTCGTGTCCCCATGTAGATTTGTTTTCTGACATGGTAAGTTTTTAGGTGATTAGAAACGAATGAAAACATAGTTAAGTATATTATCCCAGCTGGCATCAGATGTCAATATGATGTCAGAAAGACGCTCAACTCTCACATTGGACCGACGTTACATTTTGGGTGGAATGAAAATCAGATTGACGATATTTTAAATTGTTATTGACGTTAAAATTTCACATTGTGTGGACGTTAACTTTATGAATTTTTGCAGACATTGGGTTTTGGTTTCCATACCTCACGACTAAATGTTGTTATTGTAAGTCAAACTGTGACATGTTTGGATGACGGTGGATTTTGGTTACTTAACAACACAACCTAAAGCCAACAAAATATCAACATCATCTGTCATCAGTATTCTACGTCAAATTGATGTTGGCAGTAAGATGTTGTCTTGACATTGAATTTTGGTCACCTGACGACACAACTAAATTCAACCAAATGTCAACAATTAACGACATTGGTGGCCAGATGGGGTAAATCATTTCTGCCAATAGATGCCTCTAAATCCTACACGCTGGACCTTTAAGCCCTTTCTAACACCAATGTTTGCTGTGTATCAACAAGACAACAGCCATGCAAGCGGCTCCATGAGGCTGAAGTCAGGCCCAGTGAGCTAAATGCTAACACCAGCATGCTAACATGCTCACAATAATAATGTTTACCATGTTCACTATCTTAGTTTAATCTGTTAGTATGCTAACATTTGTTAAATAGCACTAAACACGAAGTACAGCTGAGAATGATATGAATGTCAGTGGTCTTGAAGGTATTTGGTCATAAACTAAACTGTTGGACAACACAAAATGTTGACCTGATGTTGGTGGTAGATTAAAAAGTGAGGGGGATCAAAGTTACTACAATTCATCCTCTTGGAACCATAAATTGCTCCAAATTTTATGGCAATCCATCAAATAGTGTCATAAGACATATGCTTGGGGACTCTCAGGCAAATTAAAGTGAAATTTAAAACACTGAGACCAGATAAGAACAAGGTAAGACCACAGATAATGACAAGATAAAACGGTGACAAATAACACTAAGCATAAATAATAATACTAGGTGTATCTTGAACATCAGTAAAAGGCAGCATCGAGTTAAAGCGCTATCTAGATCAAGTTATTGCACAATATAAAGTGCATGTGCTCAGCAGATAAAGGTCTATGTGTGTGTGCATGTGTTGTGGAGGAGGAGGGTGATGAAGGCTACAGCTCTGTAGAAAAAAGCTACTCCTCAGTGTGTTAGTCCATGTTTTTATGGTCCTGTATATCTTTCCTGATCGCAAGGTGACAAACAGACTGTGTGGAGACATTTCACTGTGAATCACAAGGGTTAACCACATGGTGGCACTCAAGCAGACGTCAAGGGATCACCAATGATTCATTCTCTGGGGATCATGAATGCCTGTGCAAACTTTCATGGCAATCGTCCAGTAGTTGTCAAGGTGTTTCGATCTGGAACAAAGTGGTGAACTGGCCAACAGACTGTCATTGCCATCCCTAGAGCCAAGCACCACCAATACAAACAGCCTTTGTAAACACACCATGTCAAGTTCAACCACATTCTGACACCTGCTTGGTAACTTTCCACTCACAGTCACTGACAGCAGTGCAGCCGGGTGGTGCTGTAATGATTAATCAGAGGTCAGTGAATCTACTGTTAGCGCCTCAAAGCTTACCTGGGGAAGTGCCTGGTCTGTCGTGGCCCAGCTGCCCACAGCTGTTAGAACCACATGTGTACACACTACCATCATGCAGCAGGAACATTGAGTGTTGCCCTCCACAGGCTACCTCTTTCAGTCCCCTGCCGCTGAACACGTGACAGTTCCTGGGCTCAAATACAGGGTTCCTCTCTATACCAAGTCCCAACTGTCCATCCTTTGCATTCCCCCAGCACAGCATGTTGGCGATGGGGAGAGGGGATGAGCACCAATCTGAAGAGGCAGAGGGAGTGACCGCCAGATGGAGGAAGACCAAAAATGTTCAGGCTTGAGAGCAGCCCCGCTTTCTCCTCTTCATGTAAATTCCAACCCTGGAAGAAACAAAACACGGGGTAATTATTATGTCATCTTTCTTTACTGACCACACATACTGATCACCGTGCTCCATGTGTAAACCCGTGATGTTTTGTAAGGATAAGGTACCGGTTTAGAGGTGGGTGTGGCTGTGTGTGAGAATGATGTAAGCAGTATGACAGAAGAACAGGGCCGTGTGTTTAAATAAACCCTGTCAGTGTAATCCCGGCTTAAGCAGCTCCAAGCAGTCCCGCCTTACTGTCCATACACATGCTATACATGCATGTTACTGACTGATTTAGCTTTGGGCAATAAAGAAATGGGAAGAGAACATGATAAGAAAAACAAATTACATAAAGCAGGAGACAGGAAGACAAGGAGAGGTCACAGCAGCTTTGAACTGAACGCAGGAATCTGTCACCTCATCAAACTAATTCATTAGAGGCTTAAAGACCAGGATTACCGAATAAATTCATACCAAGGACAATCACATCTACGCTGTAGACATCTGACCCCAATTTGATCACTTTGATGTCCATCTGACCTTAAATTTGAAAAGCTGTTTGCTCTCTGTCTCTACTATAGATCAGATCTGTGTGAAGAGAAATAGTACTCTTGTATATACGCAACTGCCAATTTGCTTAGTACATTCAGCTAAAATTAATAAAGTCAAATGCATAAAAAATAAAATGATGAAATTATCATTACAGTTTAAATATTAGTTGATTACTGACAACTGCAAATTACTTGCTGAATACTTTGATATTAATGTATTACTTGTTTAAAGGTCCAGTGTGCAGGATTTAGACGTTTAAATTGACAGGAATGGAATATAGTATTTATGATTTCTTTAGTATATAATCACCTGAAACTATGAACCATTGTGTTTTTGTTGTCATTAATATCTACATATGGATCAGGTCCCCTTCCACAAAGTCTACTATGTTGTTTCTACAGTAGCCCAGGATGGACAAACCAAGCACTGGCTCTATTTGCCATTTGCGTTTCACATTGGCCACCGTGGTTCTTCTACACACATGGAAGAAATTTCAGTTGGCTGCAATGTTGCAACCTCACCACTAGATGCCACTAAATCCCACACTGAAAATATTTTTTACGCAAAATAACAAAACATTAACCAGTTCTAATTTCTCAAATTTGAATATTTGCTCGATATCTTAGTCCTTTACACAAGTAAATTGTATATCTTTAAGTTTTAGACTGTTGGTCAGACCACATAATCAGTCTGACGATGTTAACTTGAGCTCTGAGAAACTGTTTCCACTATTTTCTCGCATTTAATAGACATAATGATAAATGGAGCAGCAGATTAATCAACAGTCGAAATAAATGTTTACTGTTTGCTCTAGTTATGATGTTCAGTTTTTGTTTAAACTGTTATATATCAATGACAGTAGACTAAATATTTGAAACAGCTCTCAGTGTTCGGTAATGGTATGGCTATTTGATTAAAATGTTCACTGTTCACTAGATTTTTCTTATTGTTTTATGTTTGTATGTTAGATTCTAGGTTGCTGCTCACTCAGTTTAATGCGATGCAACTCAACAGCACAATCTTCCATCTCTGTAATGAGCATGACATTGAATCAGCAATCAAAATTACTCTACAGTTTCAGCATAAAAAATAAATGTGGCCTTCATGAGGGAAGGTGGGCTGTTGCATTTTCAACTTAATTATTTTATAGCTAAGTGTACGTACTAACCTGAAAATCGGGTTTATACTGAAAGGGTGTCTACAGGTCCATAAAAAGTCTTAAAATGTCTTAAATTAAGTTTCTTTAATATAAGGCCTTAAAAAGTCTAAAATTGTCAGATTCGATGAGTCTTACATATTTTCAGTCACATTTACACAAAAAATTCTCCAGCCGGACAGACCAAATAACTACAATAATAAATAGCATTCATGACAGTGATGAGATTTTGCTTTCTTTTTACATTTAAACACATTAAACTTAAAATCAGCCATTTCTCCAGCAGCAGAGCATATATATATA